CACATACTCTCTACTTCCCATCTAGAGGGAGCACGCCCTTGCATCCCGCTGATCTAGGCTTTATATCAGAACAGGTCTCTTGAGGGAGGGAGGGAGAGAGAGGGGGGAGGGGGAGGGGGAGAGGTAGAGGTATAGGGGGAGAGAGAGGGAGAGAGGGAGAGAGGGAGAAAGAGAGAGAGAGAATTAAGAGCAATGACCCCGAAAGCAACCAGTTTGCTTTCTGTGACTGTGATAAACACCATGATCAAAAGCAAGCTGCAGGGGAAGTGTTTACTTCACTTATTATAGTCTATTATTGAGGAAAGTCAAGAGAGGAACCTGGGGTCAGGAACTAAAGTGGAGACCATGAGGAATGCCGCTTACTCTTACCGGTTTTGCTCTCCATGTCTTACTCAGCTTGCTTTCTTTTACAATCTAGGACCACCTCCCCAGGGGTGGCACTCTCCATGGTGGGCTGAGCCCTCCCACATCCATCAACAATCAAGAAAATGCCCACAGACCAGTCTGATGGATACGATTCCTCAGTTGAGGTTTCCTTTTCCCACGGGACTAAGCATGTAGCAGGTTGACATTAAAACCAGCTATCACACTGTGAAATGAAGAAGACTGAAGTTCAGATCTCAGAGCCCAAGTAACAATCTGGACATCAAGAACACTCTTGTCACCCAGGCCCTGAAGGATTCTGGAGACAGGAACACTGCTGGAACTTACTGGCTTCCAGCCTAGCCAAACCCATGAAAGACCCAGGTTCAAGGAAAGACTCTGCCTCAATGAAATCAGTGGAGAGTGGTAGGACACCCGATGCCTTCTTTTGGCCTCTGCACATACACACAGGTAAGCACACCTGCACACATATATGCATAAGCTCATGCACACACACATGTGTATGTACAAGCAAACAGATTTTCAATATCTCTGAATTTTGCAAACTTTCAACTTAGTAGATCTGAAGGACAAAAGGAAACAAAAAACAAAACAAAAAGAGCCAGTTTGATCATGCTCTGGTTGTTAACCACCTCCATACCATGCCATGACCTATGGCAAAGCTACAAGGCTGCAGAGCCCTGTGTGAGCACCTCGACTTGGGCATGGTATAAACTGCTGCACAGGCTTTCCCCATATTTTTCCTTGCAGGTCGCTGCGATCCCCATTTGTAATCAAAGCCACTTTCAGGAGGAATTCCTCCGTTCTTTGTAAACTCATGTAGACCTGGGAAGACCAGCATAGGCTGAGCCTTGCCCACGCCCACCTCAGTTTCTCTCAGTTGTCATAAAATATGCAAAAGATTAGACATTCCTCCCTAACATTTTTGGGTGGAGTTCACAGGTGTTAAGCACATTCACACAGCCTTGTCACCACCCATGTGCTCAGACTTTGCCTTGGCCAAACAGAAACCACGCCCACTAGCTCCACATTCCCCACTGCCTCAGCTTCTATAATCACCATTCCGTTTTCTGTCTCCACTGCCAAGACTATGTGCCTGGTACAAGTGGAATTTTCTGTCTCCTTCTTTGTCTCTACCTCCTCCAGTTTATTTTCACAGACTTCAAACATGAATTCTCCCTTGGAGAGGTCACCCTGTGACCCCCTTCCTTCCCTTTTCTCTCTAGGGAAAAGATCTTGTGCTTTTCCGTCTCTCCCACTGCACTCCATTGTTTTTAAGTTACTGGGGTAATTTTCTGGTTCTTCCATCCAGGTATGAGCATCGAAGTGCATTCAACTATGGTCAAGAAGGGGAGCTGCCACCAACTAACATTTCAGAACTGGCTGAGCGTTCTTATCAAAGTCTAGTAAAAGTCTTAACTCTTTACTCATCTCCAATGAAAATAACTTCTTGACAGGAAATGCCATTTAACCCACTTCTAATGTTTCCCATGAAGACCAACTTTCAGCATCCCGAGTTAGAAAGAGTTAGATTTCCGCTGTGTGCCCATAGAAGGGGTTTTGAAAACTAAAGTCTAGGAACCAAACCACACCTAGTGCTGCTTCTCTCAGAAAGTGTCTAAAGGTCCACATAGCTCCTGAGAAATCAACTTCTAGAAGCTAGGAACAGAATATGTGTCATACATTCTTTCTAACTTTCTTCTGCCGTCTTGGTTTTCTTTTAGACGGGGTCTTGTAGGGAGCTGAGGCTGGTTGCAAACTAATTATCCCTCTGCCTCAGCATCCTAAGTGCCATCATGCCTGGATCCTTATGAGTAACTTTTCATGACCAATTCAGAGCTGAAAGCTACTGACCAACAGAACACACACTGCACAAAGAAAGAAGTGGCCAACTGAAGCATAGCGCTCAGACACTTCCTCCAGATGCCCTAGTGGTTCAAGACCTACTTTTCAACATGAGGGTATTACAGATTCTGACAATATCCTATGCCTTTGAAGTCTGATGTGTTTGTGCTTTATTCTTTAAATGTTAATTTTTAAATTAAACCAAATATAATTTTTTGAGACAGGGTCTCACTATGTAGCCATGACAGGCCTGGAACTTGCTATGTAGATCAAGCTGGCCTTACTTCGAAAATTTAGATTGACAAAAATCACGTGCAGTTGCTGTTTACAATATAACATTTTGAAATTTATGTACGCTGTTTGAGTTAGTTAACATAGCTTTACCTTGCATTGTGTGTGTGTGTGTGTGTGTGTGTGTGTGTGTGTGTGTGTGGAGAGAGAGAGAGAGAGAGAGAGAGAGAGAGAGAGAGGGAGAGAGAGAGAGAGAGAGAGGAGAGAAACCCCCCTTTTTGATGCATTATTTTCCCGCTGTATGCTGGAGAAACATATTTAACTAAAGCACTTTGAAACTTGGCAAACCTGGTGGAAGAGAACACTGCAGTTGAAATCCACCTCCAAGGAAGCAAACTAGAAACAACAGAAATAAGCCCAGAGTAAAAAAAATCAACCAGCTAATGTTATTATTTAGCAGGAACTAATTAGACAGTTATTAGAAACCATTAAGAAGCTACAAAACAGAAAAATCAAGCTCCAGCTCTTGTTTAAGACACCAGTTGAAAGCTCTCTCATTAGCTGAGGGTCTGGTTAGTTCCAGAGGGAAATGATGCATGAGGCGCTGTTCCGAACAAGGAAGTACAACAGCAATCAAAATCAAGTTGCTATCAGGGTAGCAGGTACACCGGCCACTGCTTTTACTTTCACAGGTCTCTGGGACACCATTAGCTCCTCTGCCTTAGTTGGGACCCTAGATATTCTGGAATAAGAAGGAAGGTACCTTGTGTTGAGTTTGTTTTTTATTTCAGGCTGAGTTATTTGTCAGGCATAACGCCTTCTCTACCCTTTGAACATATTGTTTTTGTTTTTTTTTTTTTTTTTACATTCTTTATATGATACGTAACTTGCTGCAAGTTCATGCTATTCTTTAATTAGTTCACACATACAGATCTTGCCTCTTTGTAATCATACAGCAAACAAACCAATGGACAATACTTCAGTGGGATCTTCCATAACATCTTCACTCTGTGGGGTGCAGCCTGGGTATGTGGTGAGTGTGGGTTGGTGAACTTTGATGAGGCCCTGCCATGCAGTCACGTGCATTGAAACCATGATGAATCTACATGCAAATCTCAGTTCATTGTCTTGGGAAAAGCAGCATAGAAAATGTCCTGCCAGTGACTGGGGGCCACATCAGCGCAGAGAAACTTTCAATCCTGTGGTGGGGGCGGATTCCTTACTTCATAGACAGTGTAAGCTCCATGAGGGTGGGGATGATGCTTTACTCCCTTGCCAGCGTGTATACCCAGCACCAACTTTCTCCATATTACTCTTTCAGATTAGCATTCCCACACTGTATATTTTCCTGCTATTCCTCATTTGAAGCCAATGCCCAGAAGTTAAGGTGATAGCACAAAATCATCCAACATGGCACTTAGTATGGAATACCAGGTGGTCGTAGTGTTCCTCTTAGGCATGGCAAGGGTGAATGTGGGGGTGGAGAGGGGAGGCTGAGGATCAGGAAGCAAGGTCACTGGCCAGATAGCCTTGGTCTGAGGGCTCATTGTCGGGGGACAATGTCTACTCTCTGTGACAGAGCAGCGGATGTCAGATGGAGCTCTTGGCAGCCCCCAGGCAGTGGAACACAACCTTGCATGGTCCCTGGCTGGATGGTAGCTTCCTGCCAGGGAAGGCTGCCAAGCAGTTTGTGACAGCTGTGTAGTGAGCAAGTCTCTGAGGTTCTCTAGTGACTGCCATCTGTGACCCTCCCATCTGTATGTCATGGGAAGACACAGGGAAGTTTGGGTGCTGGGGACCCAATTTTCTACTGGCTCCCGTTTCACTGTGCTATGCCTGCCTTTCTGGGCCTTTGCAATGAGACACATTGAAGAACCATGGGTCCTTTCTTCTCTTCCCAGCAGAAACCTATTGGCTCTACTTGTAAAGGATAAGAATATTTAGGTTTCATTCCGTTCTCAAGCATGACTGTCTTTCAAGGCAATCATATGACCATATTTACTTCCTAGCCTTGTCAGAGCAAATGACATCTCGCATGGATTAGTACTTGGAGAAACTACCCAACTGCATATTTTTTTTTTTAAGATTTAAAAGACAAGTGAGATGGCTCAGTGGGTAAAAGTGCTTGTCACCAAGCCTGAAAACCTGAATTCAACCTCTGGAACCCATATGGTAGAAGGAGAGAGCCAATGTCCTACAAGTTGTCCTCTGACCTCCAGACATGTAACTGTGACACATGTGAACTCACCCATCCATCTCACACTCAAAATAAATAAACAAACGTAAAAATAATGAAAGATAGAATTTTATCCATTTACTTACTATTTTTGAAAAAATGAACCTTAAAAATTAACATTTGCTATGTGTTTAAGTCTTAAGGGATTTAACTTTTCTGATTACTCAAAACAGCTGCTTTTACTTCATTTTCTTAGAATTTCTGACATGTGGACTCAATTTTACATCAGCAGCTCTATATTGGATGGTTATTGTATTCTCTACAGGCAAATATGAAGAGTTAAAAATGAAATCCCAGACGTTACCTTTCAGCATTATTCGTCCAGTGGATCCTCCGAAGGTACTGAGAAGGCTGCTTCTTGCTCCTAAAGAGGTGGTTGCCTCCAGGAGAGAACCAGTGATGTACTGAGCTATGGATGTCCTTTGGAGGGTGGCCCGGTACTCACATTCGGTGTCTCGTACACATTGCTCTAAGCATGGACCGGCTCTAATCCTTCCACAGGCTGTCTCGGAGGTTGGGAGCTGTCTGGAGCAATGGAGAAGAGATCCAACCGTATCTTCTGTTTCTTCTCCTCTTCTCACTGCACTGTAGATCTGTGAATAGCACAAAGCACAGGAAGTATTAATCTAGTTTCTTAGAAAAGCAAATTAACTTGTTGACAAAATGCCAAGATGACTTAGGAAGAAAGAAGGCTCGGTCGGTCTAAGCACAAACACCTTTGAGCTCTGTGCTCATACATTAACCTGAACATTCTGCAGACACCATTTATTTGGAGAAGCTCTGTGTAGTTATGAAATAGGCCATTCAAACAACTCTGCTATCAAACAGAGGACTTAAAGTTGCACCAACCAAAAATACATTCAGCTCAAATTTCTCCTCCTCCACAATGCTCTTCTGTAGAGCGACAAGGGCAAACCTTTTCCTCATCCTTTTGTACTCTCCTGTATGACTGACCATGTCTGCCTGCCTCCATCCTTGCTTTAATTTGACATCCATAGGGAATTCTTGGTCCATGAACAAAGTAAATTGAGGATGAAAGGGTCATGAGGAAGGATTTCCCTCATGGGCAGATTCTTCCTATCTTTCAGGTAGCTTCCAAGTCTTTGATGCTTTTATTTTCTTACTCTTCCTTTAACTCCCACATTCAAAGAGTAGTCCCTGACCAGTCCCTGCTCTGTCATTTTATCGAGTCCTTCTTCAATCACTTGTATTCACCATGTATGATCTGATTAGAACAGGATCTCAACCGTATCTTCTGCCCATTCTAATGTAGTCATTCAACGACATAGACCCTGCTCTATGTGATTCACTATGTCAGAAAACATGGGCAAATGCAAAGGCTGAAACATACTGCTTGCGCAGTATTATTTCCATACTGCGTTGAAGAAGGATCCTGACTAATACAGAGTTGAAGAATACTTCAGGGAGGTGTTGGGTTGTGTGGAGTGTTCTGGAGCTCTTCAGAGTCTTTCTGATAGTATGTGAACAACATGGAAGAAGTGTCACACAGAGGGACATTTGTAGCTTGCTAGAGGAGGAAGGAAGGAATATTACTTGACAATGAATTCATCCTGACACTTCGAACAGTTTGCTTTGGTTTATTCATGGTGCTGTACACTCCGAATTTTATCTTAACTATTGCCTTTAAAAGACCCCTGTATTCAGTCCTTTATAAAACCCTACAATAAACCCAACCTCCCCCACCCTGCCCAAGCATCCAAACTTCAGTGTTTCTTTGCATGCTGATACATCCTTGCGGATTGGAGTCACAGTGAGAATTCTTAGCTTTATTCTCTGTTGTTAATCCTCTGGGAGAGCAATATGCCTAAATGAATGGTGTGTTGTGTTTACATCCAGACTCTGAGGTAAGGTATGGGGGAGAAACACCTGGTTTTGCCTTGCAGGGCCAGAGAACTGGTTGTGAACATGAGTACATGGCTTAAAGGTTTTGAGGCCAATATTAGTGGGGGCAATAATACCCCTTCTTAGGGACATTGTGGGACTCACAAAGGAAACTCATGTAGCATACCTGACTTAGTGTTAAGAAACAGTGTGTATTAGTATTGGGCAAGTCTCCAGGAGAAAATGGACTCCTCCTCAAGGAACGATGGGAGGTTGTTAACTAGACAGTAGAGTATACGTTATTCAGCATGATGTCGTTATTACTGTGCTTTGTGTGTGACTGGACAGTGTCATCCTAACCCTATCTGGGCAAACACAGAGCTCAGGGTATGTCTTTCTTCTCAATGTCTGTCTCTTCCTAGACGTTGATGTTATTAAAGAAGGAAGACAATCTCTATTGTCACCCTGCCATACACTCCAAACCATACAGGCCATACATACATACCACAGTAAGTCCCACTCAAGCTCTTCAAGAGTAAATGGTGCAGAAGTTCAATGGCAGGAATCTCTTGTGGGAGCTAAGGAAGTTTCCATAGGCAAAGCAGTGTTTGGCCTGAGCCTTGAAAAGCAGTTGTGACTCTAACTGCAATAAGTGGGGAAGATAATCCAGGATAGAATCCAAGTGATGAGGCTGGAAAATACAGACTCCGTCCTGTCAACAGCAAATAGAGCAGGCTGTGTAGGGCAGAGAGTGGAGGGTATTAACTGTGCGTCGAGGAAGGCCAGACAGTCTGATAAAGGAGAGCCTTAACTGTTATGGCAAAGGGTTTTAATCTTAGAGGTAGCAACCCTTGACACTTGGTATTTGTTTGTTCTTAAAAGAGGAATGAGGTTAAAAATGTTTTGTTTAAAAAGATGAACAGACAGTTCCCAGCTACTAATAGGTTGCCTTCTCCCTTTTCTTGCCAAGCTGCCCTACAGGCTTACGGTGCCCCTATCATTGCTTTATGAACTCTACCTACTATAATGCTTTCATAGATTCCTAATGGTCCATTTAGTCCTTTCTCTAGATTTTCCAATGTGTTTTTCTTAAAACCTTAGATCTCGAAAGAATAATATGACATACAGACTTCGTGATCACAGAATCTTGAGCACAGTAAATAGCTTCCCCTTCTGGAGATTTACACTGCCCAACAGAATATTAAAGACAACCACAGACATTGTAAAGACATTTATTTCCTTTTGCTTAACTGGATGTTTGAGTGTTTCTCATGTTATTTGACCAAGAATTGTTTTCTAAAGAACACTTAGCCTACAGGTGAAGCATGGCACAACATATAATATATTCCAATCTAGTAGACTTCCAGTTTCTTGATCTTGGTGGAATCCCTGAAATACAGCCCCCACACCCACAACTTTCTTGATGTCCTTTCTCTCATTATTCTACAGTTCCATTTTCACCTGTTCATTCTCTCTTTTCCCACACCTTCGGGATAGTTACAACGCAATAGAGAAGTGCCAATAAGCATCTAATATAGGGAGGTCACGAAGTGATGGCTGTGAGCCAGACTCAGGGATCACATTGGCTTCATCAAACAGTGTTTCAAGATCAGTGAAGTTCATATGTACATGTGAAGCTGTGGCATTCCCCAAACACCTGGACAGTCTGGTAGTACTGAGTTTCCCACAAGGTATCATGTGGGTAGGGTTTTTCTACTGTCACATAGAGCAAACTGTTTTTACAGGTTGGTACCGACTCCTACCTCTCTTTAGCTATCATGTCTGGCCAATATCTGGTTGTTGGTAGTGTACATGCTGTGGCCCTTCCCTCCGTGATTTATGAAGAGGAATGTAGATTTATACAATAAATATGCACAGAGCTTCTCCAATGTGTCCTACCTATGTTCTTCCTGTGTTAATTGCTGGCTGGATAGGGAGAAAGGCAGTATATGTTCTTAAAAGATGGCACCTCGTGCTATGCAAGCTGCCATGGGAGGGAAGCAACCAACAGTCTTACCTTGCTGCAATGCCCATGGACTAACAATGACCAGCATGGCAAAATATCCCTAAGTGTGCAATAGTAGTGCTCATATCTTAGCAGTAACCAACAGATAATTAGACATAAGGCTTACTCCAAAGGAGGGAACTCATGCCTGCTACTAGGAACCTAGTCAACTACTTGGTGCTAGTGAGGTCATGGATATCAGAGGAGAACCTTCTCCTGCCCCTTTACAAAACCAGCATGCATTCTGAATCCTAGTCCTTAGTCCCCCAGATAAGTGTAGCTCTCATTCCTCTCCAAAAGAAGCTTCTCTCTTCAACAGAGACCATTATAGACAAGTACAACTGTTCAAAGTGTAGAGAGCAATTGATCATGGGGTGCCCAGCCCCAGTGGATACATCTACACTGTAAGTTCTGCAGCAAAAGCTCAGGGTGCATCTTAGAAAAGGGGATGGAAAGATTAGAAAAGCTGCAGGACCCGGAAACTGTGGTTTTGTGAGACTGTGTCTCCTAGAAATGACAGGAAGCTCCACCCATGATATTGCAACAATATGGCTGCCTAAACAAGACTTGAACAAGACAACAACAATAGACATGCTAAGGTGCAAGTGGGAACTCTCACAGGGCCCTGGCCATAGACAAAGAACTACAGGCGACTAAGGAATGCTGCAAGCAGGAGAATTAGTGTTCCCCAGGGAGAAGTCCCTTCATTGGTTATCCTGGGATAACCAAGTGGTCAGTCAGTCTGGGATCACTGAACTAACACTGAACTAACACTGAACTAACTCAGCAGGTTGTTTATATTTATGCTTATATGTGTATTTGTGTACACACACACACACACACACACACACACACACACACACACACACACACACGGAAAAAGAGGCCATGAATTTGAGAGGGAGCAAGGAGGTGCATGGAAGAGATTAGAGGGGAGAAATGACGTAATTATATTTTAATTAAACAATAAAATAAAATAAAAAGGTTGCATCTCACCTTAAACTTGAACAAAGAGATAGAAGGTAAAGAGCTCTAAGGATAAATGTCTCACCCGTCACCATCTCTACCCCCAATGCCTAGGAACACTTACTTAACAAGCCCCAGTCATCCAGTCATACCAATGTTTGACAAACAAATTCAAAACTTATTAGAAAAATAATGAGTGTGGATCGAGTGGTAACAGATATGGTAATAATCAGGGAACATGGCCAAACCAGGCTATTACCTCTTACCTTGTAAGAAGGAAGAAGCCTTGGGCATTTGCTACGTACGGAGCAGGGAGAACAGTACTCACAACTTCCTAGGGCTCAGAGTGTTGCTTTAAATCCTAGTTCCTTGTCCTGCTTCCCAGTGGTGTGGTCTTCCTTGGATGGACTGCTGCGGAGCCATTGTGGACCTCAATTACTTTCTTACAGTATGTGGATATGACTATCTGCCTCATAAAGTTGAGACTAGAATTACAGTCTCTGATAAAGGTAATGCATTCAAAGAGCATTGGCACCTACTAAATGTTCAGCAGTCATTAGGTTTAGAGTGATGGTGACAGCGGTGGCTGTGCTGACTGGGGCAGCTATAAATTTGGCTGGGCATTCTCTGTGCATCTTCTCCTTATTAACTTTGGCTCCCCCCGCCGTTTGCTTCCCCCCCGTGGGAACTTACCCAAGCACAACCTTACAAAACTCTCCTTATAATGGGATTTTCTCCCTCTTGTCGATTTAGGCTTTGGAACAACTACCATGTGAAGAAGCCTTAGTTAGCCTGCTAGGGGAGGAGACCCTAGCTCAGTTGCTCCCATCACCCCGGCTGCCGGTCCGCCAAGATCCAGCCTCACAGTGAAGCCATCCTGGTTCCCAGGTCCTCCATGGCCTGTCCAGGAGCTGCTACAGATGCACAAGACAGGCACACAGATACTAGTAGATTCAGACTAGGACAACAGCCAGTCGATTTACAGAACCATGGAGCAAGTGAAATGACTGCTGTGAAAAGCCGCTACAACAGGCACCACCGTGAGCTGTTGGGCATATTTGCTGAGTCTACATGGAAACCCATTTAGACTGATTTTGTTTTACAGATGAGAAACATAGCTAACTTTACACAGCTAATAAGCGCTAAGCCAGGATGAAGAACCATGGTTATCTTACTCCTTTACCTAGCTTCATCTACTGCCCCATGCATAGTTAGCTCGGTTGTGGGATTCAAGATCCCATTGTTACTTGGCAAGAGGTCTCAGTGATGCTAATACTGATGTTGTTTTTATTCGTGCTTTTCCTTTTCATGCTGGATTACTTTTTAAAATAGTCAAGTTATGACTAATGACCAGAAGTGTTTCCTTTATATGGAGATTTATAGTTTTAAAATCACAAAGTGAGAACGCATATAAACTTTATCCTACTTGATTAATGGGGTGAGAGAATGTGCTGAAAAGAGGACAGACCGCTGCCCTGCATGGATCAATATTGTGTTTAAGATAAACTGGAGATGTCACAACATAGCCACCAAGCTTGTTAAACAGCCCTGCAGTCATTCTGTCCTTCAGTTGTTTAACAGTCCATTTGTATTTACTGAGCACATATACTATGCCTAGCCAAACTACTGGCAACCCATAAAGAAGTGCTATGTCTTATTTATTTGCAAGCAGAGCAAATGAATTAATTAAAGCAACTAGCAAGCATGATGGTCTGAGTTCAAATTCAAAGAGACAGATGTGTGTCTGTAACCTCAGCGCCCCTCTGTAACCTCAGTGCCCCTATGGCAAGATTGGATGCAGAGACAAGAGACTCTCTGAAGCTCTCAGGCCAGCTAGCTTGGGGTACACAGTGGCAATCAACCAAAGGACCTAGCCTGTCTCAAACAAAGTGCAGGGTGAGAACTAACATCCAAGGTGTCCTCTGACCTCCATACATACACACCATTGCATGTATGAGCCTGCACTCAGAAGTATGAATATGTGCACACATGCACACACACACACACACACAGACACACACAGACACACACACACACACACACACACACACACACACACACACACACACACACACTTTACTCACTATGTAGACCAGACTGGCCTCGAACTCACAGAGATCCAGCTGTCTCTGCTTCCTGAGTACTAGGATTAAATGTATATGCCATCATACTCAGCACCACAATTATATTTTTTGAAACTGTAGACTGGTCTGGGGTTACAGTTCACAGTAGAACAACTGTCTAGCATATAAAGACCCTGTATTCAAACCCTAGCAATGAACACAAAAGCATAGTGTTCTATATAGCCAAGATATATTTTGGATGGATGCGACAGGTCTTGCTTGCATTGCTGTAAGGGAAAAAAGGAAATTAACCAAAGAATCTACATTTAGCTATTGTTAAGTATTTAGAGATCTAGGATTTATATAATAAGATCAATGCTGCATTCAGTGCCACTTGGGCCTCCCCAGTTCAGCAACTGTGAATGAATGATCCTTTCCACAGAATGATACTTAGCCTATTTGTGACAGGTGCTGGGGTTGACATGGCTGGGAGTGACTGGAGCAAAGTGATCTTAACATTTTAAAGTCATTTGCTGAGTCATTATCAATGCTTAGACAACATCTGGAGGAACACAGCAGCACCTGAAAGTCCCTGTAATTCTAGAAAGAGGGATGCCTCGAAGTAACCAATATCTGGACTTTGTCTTGGTAACCAAACAGAATAAACTAAAAAAAAAAAAAAAGAAGGTTAAGACTGCACCATGATGCAGGTGGAAACATAGCCAAGCACTGGAGAGCCCCGACAGGCACAAAGCCGCCACACGTACCACATTACCAGACCTCACTCAGGAAGAAATCGTCTTCTCTACAGCAAAAAAGACTTTGTCTTCACTTGAAGAAACAGCTAAGGGGAGTCAACTTCGTACAGCCTTGTTTCCGAAGCTGTCTTTCTGGCTTCAGAGTTATGGGAAATGATGTTTTAGGTCCTGGTGACACACTTTCTGAGATCTTCCAATAGGAAGAACGCCTGTGTGCAGAGGTCCACTGACTCCACGGTGCTTGGCATCCCCTCACCATTTCTGGTGTGTACAAAATGAATCAGGCACTGAGCACTGACACATGATTCCATGGAGGCCTCAGACCAGCTCAATGGAGAGGTCCTGCTATTGCCAACATTTAAAAATAAGATGCACAAGGGTAGGATTTGGTGTCAGGATCCTGTAACTCTAGTACAGTGCTACTAATTACCAAGCTGAATCCCTGGGCAGCCCACCACAGATGGAAAAACAAGTGCTGTCAGGAGGGAGACAACCTAGTAAGGATCCCCCACACACATTCTATCTAACCCTACTAGAAGCTCAGCTCATGGGGATTTTGTTTTTCCTTGCTCTATTTCCAGAGCAGTGGTTGGGTGTTGTAGTATCTCAATAAACACTCCTGACTAAATGCATGAGTCTCTCTATAACACATCTTCAACACAAACTTTCTGAGAATCTTCACTGTTTGAGGCCATGGATCAACTAGACTCATCTGAACTACAGATGATATGGTACTGTGGTATTACCAACTGTGTTTGGTGAACATTAGATATGGAAATCACATAACATTGTATCAAATCCTCACAAAATATTCAGAACAGCTATTGCCAAATAAGGCTGTCATGGTTAGTAACAAAATGTGCCCCGCCCTGAAAAGCTTCATTCATAGTTTTCAGTACTATTCCATTATCATATGCTGATTGATTTAGAGTTCAGAATATTAAACTTATCTATTTTTCATTATTAATTTTCATAAAAATGATCATTTGGAGGGATCACAGAGCTGCATTAGACACAGCATGTGGATTTATAGATTGACTTTCCTAAATCAAATTAATCTAAAAAACAGTTTTCAACTCACAGATTTCATGATGAGTGACTGAAAACAGGGACTTTAAAAAAAGACTGTTGTAGAGACCATTCTCTCTGTGTTTCTGTCACTCTCGAGACAGGGTCTCACTATGCAGACCTGGCTGCATTGAAACGTGCTGTGTAGACCGGGACTCACAGCGATCCCCCTGCCTCTGCCTCCACAGTGTTGAGATTGAAGGTGTGCACCACCACACCTAACCCCATATTTCATTGACATGAGAAGGACAGTGCAGACTGCCACCATGGTCCCTTCAGGGTCTCTCTTCCTAAACTGGGAAGGTGGGTATTAATTGACCTTGGTACTGATTTAAATTTTAAAAAAAGATTTATTTATATTCTATATGTGGGTGTTTGTACCTCTGTGTGCTGCATGCATGCGGTGCCTGCGGACACTCACAGAAGACGTTGTATCCCCTGGAAAAGCAGTCAGTGCTCTTAACCGCTGAGCCATTCCTCCAGCCCCAATTTGCTTATTTTGATCACCATTATTCTCTAATCCAGGTTGATTCTTATGCTCCCTTCCTTCTTATCAGTGCTCTTCAATATTAGTGATCATTTCCGTGGTGACTGTAGTGACTATACCTCTACTTCTAACAGCACCCTTGTCCTCCACCCCCACCCCACGCCCAGAGTGTCCTTGGGCTAGGAAAACAATTTGCACTCTGTTAGTCATACGGTGAATAACAAGGTGGGACCCTGCTTTCCAGGATGAGATAAAAGATGCATACGGTGCATTGGTTCGGAATCCCCTTTTACTGGCCTAATAGAATCCTCTCTTAATGGCTGGAACCTAAAAGCAGCGTTCTAGAAGATTCTAGAAAATTCTTGAAGGTTGAAGGCAATTTCTCACAGATATTCAAATGTAAACCAAAGGCAATGATTGAAAAAACAATACTAACTTGCCTCAGGGTAAAGAAAAGCAGGAGGGGTGGTGACTGCAGTGGCTGAGAGACCTAATGGAAAGGACGGGGAGCCATATTTTGGCAGCAGTCTGTGTTTCCTCGGCTCCTGATTCCACATTCCATTCCAGAGCCTGTGTGGAGAATTCCATTCTCCTGAGAGTACTGAGACCATGCACAAGACACTGACCAAACACAATTCCAAAGAGCCCAAAATAAAAGCTTTGTGAGCACTGTGCCAGTTAGCTGGAGTTGTAGCATTGACTACAGGAAGCAAGCCGAACCTTCCTTACCGTGGGAAGCATCTCGGGAGTGTAAGAGCATGCCCCACTGGTGATAATCTGGGAATTTCACAGCAACAAAGACCCTTGCCCACAACGTCTCCCGGGCCACATTGCTTCCTTTGTATAGTCATCAGCAAGCAATAAGCATGCCTTCCTGGCACTGGAACCACACTCAGCTCTAAACCTTATCATGATGCTTCTTGCCAACCACAGATGTCACATGCTGTTAGCATCATCCCTTACTGGACCTTTTGCTCCCGACACAGAGAGGCACACTGCAAACAGTAGAGAGAGGTTACAATGGAGAAGTAATTGCAGCCTTATAGCTTTGGATATCAAAATTGGGGCAGCAGACCAGCCGTGGCAGCAGCATCTGGGAACTTGTTAGAATTGCAATCCCAGATGTGCTGAATCAAAAACTTCCAGGATCCCTTCCACAGGCCGAAACGCATGCCTGGCACTGTAAGTCCAGCCAAGAACCCACAATGGAGGGCCCCCTAGACCTCACAGGTGAGTCTACTATGCTCGTTTTGCTAAATAGACATAGCATCAAACTGTGTTCTAAATTCGTATCTCAGTACCCATAATGGGTGCAGCTCTCAGACCTCATCAGAGAAGTTTCTTTGTGCAGTGGACGGCAGTTAATGCAGAAACTCACTGACACACACACACACACACACACACACACACACACACACACACACACACACACACACAAAAGTGCAGAAAATAAGTATCTGTAGAGTGCTCAGCCACAAATGGGACAGCTGTATCACCCTTGCCCGCAAAGTTCATGGGCCGTCTCAGGAGAGGGGGTGGGAAGATTGTAGGAGTAGAAACTATAGAGCTCCCAAGGGAAACAGTGTCATCTGAACACGACAGGACCTGCACTCTCAGCCACTGTGGTTGCCTGCACAAGACCTGCACATGATCAAGCCAGTCACCATGCCAATGGGGGTGGGACTCCTGGATACCCTCCCCTACCTGAGAAGTTGATAGTTGACGGCTGCTGGGGGTTAGGGAGAGTCAGTTTCTTTAAGGTTGTGGCTCCTGGAAGGTTGACCACGTTCCAGTGGGTAGCCCCTCTCTCATGTGTTTGTATGTGACACAAACTAAAAAAAGGAAAAGGAGGACATAGACTTGGAAGGGGGAGAGTGAGTAGGACGAGGACCTGGAAGGAAGGGAGGGGGGCGTTGAGTATGAGAGCCTGGTCAGGTACTCCTGTAGCCAGCCCCTAAGAAGGCGTGGCTACAGCTTCCCCTACATATGAGCAAACTATATTGAATGCATGGAAGAAATTACCAAATCATTAATTAAAATCTCTTATTTTTCAAACTCTGGGACCAGAACACAGTGGTCTATCTGTGTTTAACCAGCTCTCCATGGGATTCTGATTCCTGCCAGCATTTCAGATCTACTGCCATGAACTTTAAAGGAGACGATATTATAATATCATATTTCATCCCTGATTGTGCTCCTCAGATGATCCTTGTCATCCATGTCTTCCTTCCAGAATGAGCCACGGAGGACATTGCTGAAGTCTATTCATCTCTCCTGCTGCAAAGCTTCTGGGTTTAAATCTATTATGGGGCAAAAAGGAGCAAGTGCCAGCAGGCAGGGCATCCCTGCATGAAGTTACTCACGGCTGTGCATGTAATGGAGCGTTATAAAGGAAACTTCCAGCTTAATATCTACTCAGATGAATCACGCCTGAGATACTTATTCTAATGGGAATTACCACAGGGATGAATCATGTCATAATGAGAAAACCTAGCTGCCAAGGGAGCCTCTGGAAAAGAAAAATCAAATTAGGACAAATGGATTATGTTGTTAGGCTTTGGATGGCAGGCAGTGAATTAGGCCTACAGAAAGGACTTAGAGGGTTGAACAGCCAGGCTTCTTGTGGCTCTGAGGAGCAGTGGGTCATCTAATGAAACACTTGAGACAAAGCCCCTGTGAGATAAAAACAAACTTCCACAAATGCTGTAGTCCTTCTCCCTGGTTCAGAGCCCAGAGCCTTGTTCTTGCTAAGATGTACATATGGGAAGCCGGGAGGGACAGCGAGTTCTGGACATCCCGCTGCTCAGGGATGCTGCAGGTTCTGAGCAGGAAGGGGGGGGGGGCGTCAAAGCCAATCATGGGACCAGGCTCTGTGCTTTCTGTGTGTTACTCCTTTTATGACCAGAGTCCTGCCTGCCCTTGGCCCACTTTCTGAGTGAGCCTCCTCCCTCTGGCCGGCTGGAAAGGGCCCTCACTGTCTCTGTCCTCAGTCATGAGGCCCTTCTGCCTGCTTCACTGCTTCTGAAACAACATCCGACTTCTCCCCTTGACTTCTTTTTGTTGTGATATTTGTTTTATCTTTTCTTGTAATCCACATAATTATACATGATTGTGGGGTGCAAGGTGAAACTCCAGTATATGTACACAGTACATAAGGATCAAATCAGGACAGTCAACATGGCTGTCTACTTATCACTGGCACATTAGAGCCCGGGAGCGCTTCTCTTCTCGCACATATAACGGGCTACCGTCAGTGAGTGCCTCCGCATGGCCACACTACCCAGAGCTTATTCCTTCTACCCAGTTGTGCTTTGGAACCTGTTTCCCCACCTCTTTCTCCATCATGCCATGCCTTCCCCGCCCGTCCTTTTCGAACTTTAAAGCACTCTCTCATTCTCTTATCCTGTCAGATCAGCTGCTCCAGCGTCCACAACGAGGGAGAACGTGTGATATTTCTCTTTCTGCTCCTAGTCAACTCACCTTGCTGCCAATGACAGGGTTTTATACTTTGTTATGGCTGGAAATGCACATGACATTTCTCTATCCATTCGTTTAGAGGATGTTTCCCTGGACTTATGCTTTTGTAGGTAATGCCTCAGTAAATACAACAGTACGGGTTTCTCTTTGATAAGCTGTCACTCTCTTTTGGGTGTGTATCTGAGAGCAGGATAGCTGCATCAGACGACAGATCTATTTTAAGTGTTTTGGAGTCACCACACTGCTTTCCAGTCTGGCTGTACTGATTTACATTCTCGGCATTTTAGAACAATTGTTTCCCAGATGGTGTGGCCTGTTTTGAGAGGCTGTTCAACCTTTGGGCAGCAGGGTCAGCTGGAGCAAATGGATAACTCAGGGATGGGCCTGCAGGTTTATAACCTGATCTTGCTTCTTGTCCTGTCTTTGCCTATTTCACCAAGATATCAGCAAGCAGGTTCATGATCCTGCCCTCAAGCCTTCTGTACCACACCGCACTTTCCCCCATATGCCATCCTTCCCCACCACACCACCCTTTCCCCATCATGACAGGCTGGACTTTCAAGCTGTGAGTCAAAATAAATAGTCTCTCTTTTAAAAAGCCTATTATAGTTATTTTCTCATTATTATTTTGCTACTGTTTTTTTAGTTTCTTATGTATTTCAAACATTAATTCCTAGCTAGATGAATAGTTTGCAAATCAATTCCCCAGCCTGTTTCTGTGGATTATTTACTTTGCCATGCAGTATTTGTCTACCCACATGTCCATCTTAACACCATATCAAAAAGTTCCTTGCCTGGGAGGGATGTATCAGTATTTCCTCTATTTTTTTTTCTGGTATTTCAGTGGTTTCTGGTCTTACACCTGTTTTGATTTTTTGTATATAGCAAGAAGGAATGAAGTTCCATTTTTATACATATGGATATTGAGTTTCCCCAGCACCATTCATGGATGAGGCTAGCTTTGGTCTAATTGATGTCTGGGATACCTTTGCAGAATATCAGCTGGTTTGGCTGTGTGGGTTGATTTCCGGGATTTCCATCCTGTCCGGTGGTCTGTTTTGGGTTTTCTGTGCCAGTGCTATGGTCTGCTTTGTCATAGTTCCTCCTGGGCTTTTAATCCCATTCTGCCTGAAGATGGCCTGAGGTTGAGCTGTACCTACCAGAATATACTGTTCTGACCAGCAGAAATGGCTAACAAAGTAAGAGGCTTTAGGGTGGGTGGTAGGAATGTGATCTTTGCATCACACTGACCATCTGTACCCTTAAATGCTACTATCTAGTTGGAGCAGGTAAGGTGTCTCTTTAATGGAGATGGTCATTGGATTCAAAGAGAGAAATTAGTTGTAAATTCTGTCTCCGGTTTTAACAGTATCCAAATAGTGTTAGCAGCATTAATAGCAGCCTAAATGTGTGTGTGTGTGTGTGTGTGTGTGTGTGTGTGTGAGAGAGAGAGAGAGAGAGAGAGAGAGAGAGAGAGAGATTGAGATTTTACTTGGGGCTTAAAGGTAGGAAGGTGATGAAGAGGTGATCATAGTCTGATCCTAGGGTACATCCCAGGACCTTGCACAACTCTGGGGCAGCAGGTGGATACCCAGGCCACAGGCAGGAGTGCCTGACTAGAGGAGTTTTCTGGAGAAGCTAAGAATGGGTCAAGTCAGACATGGATGAAGAAGAAATCTATGCCTAAGAATATCTTCCCTGATTGGACTCTGTTCACTCACTCATTCAACAAAGGTTTACTGGATAGACACACACATACATATATACATACATACATACATACCTTGCCAGGACCTAGTGACAAATGGTCAGTAGAAGTTTGTTTGTTTTTTTGTTTGTTTGTTTTTTGTCTTCAGGAACATTGCTTACTATCAGGGAAGACAGGCAGTTTATGGATGGTTACAAAGCAGTGTGCATGATAAGTTCTGCAATGTGTGAACACAGCATACTTCAGAAGAGGAGGGTCTCAGCCTACCATGGAAGGCTTCCTCAAGAGGGAACACTTTAGCACAACCTGAAGGTAATAACGGAGCTGGGGGAAGTGGAGAAAATAGTATATGAAAAAAAGTTCCATATGGTTAAATCCTCTGAGTCCTTACAAGTGGTTACAGTTTGAGTCAAGAACCACTAATTTCCAGAAATATTTTCTTTTTATCAGAAAAAAATTTACTATAAAAGAGATCCACCTTTAAAGAAATAGCTCTTTGAGAGTTTTGCGTATGTTTTAATCATCTCTGTCCCAACTTTTCCCATATCCCTAATTCATGTCCTTCCTCCTTCCTTCCTTCCTTCCTTCCTTCCTTCCTTTCTCTCTCCCTCCCTCCCTGCCTTCCTTTCTCTTTTTGAACCCTTCAAGGCCATCTGTGCTGCCCAAATGTCCCTGGGTGTATGGTCTTCCACTAGAGCACAATTGACTTGCCAGGGACTACACTTTCACCAAAAGCTGCCTCTCCTTCTCCCAGCTGCTACCAATTGCTAACAGCTTTGGTGAAGAATCAGACTGTGTGCTCAACTCCCTTTTTTGTTGAAATTAGATGTCTTGGCCTTGCACAGGTTTTGACAACTATTTTCTAAACAAACTGCCATGTCAGTACAGCTGAAAGCTGTATCTCCTAAGACTCCCATAACCTTCCTGCATAGTGCTAAGTATAGAAGAACTCAGACAAGACCCAGGTTCTGCCACTGAGGCATGGATGGGATGGAGCTAAGATTTCTTAGAACTTGGCAGTTTCTTTAAATGTTACACACACACACATACACACGAAGATACAGAGTACAGTGTGCCTATTACCTACCAGCCTGCAACTGGAGACCACCTCACTTGCATTACCAATGATAACCTTCAGAGATACCACACTAGGTGAGAAGGGACTCAAAAACTCTTCCTGCTCAGTTGAAAGTATAAACCTGGAAATCAGTGGACACTCTTCTACCTTTGGAAGGTAGCAGTGGAAACAGAAATCTTCAAGGAGTTTCTAAAGTATTGGAGAACAAAATGATAATGACAATGATGGGGAGGATACCACAATGACTCTGTAGTTGATGAGGATAAAGTGGGGGTTCTGACTATGGCTGTGAGACATGCTTTTATCCTGTCCTGTCACAGAAGTTCTCAGCTATCGTGTGTGTGTGTGTGTGTGTGTGTGTGTGTGTGTGTGTGTGTACATTAGCTCAGGGCTAATATATTGAGAGACCAAAGGTCAAAACCAACATGCTTGACCTTGAGAGGACGAATGGGTATGAGAAAGTTGTTATCTCTCACATCATCTGTCCTCATGATGTAGTCAGATAAGATATGGCCACCCTCTAGAGACTTCCATAGGCTTCACACATACAAAGAAAATACCCTACAAAACCCTAAGGTTGAATGAAACTTCAGTGTTTTTTTTTTAAAAGAAACTATTTAATAATTAACAAACAAATATTTTTTAATTTACATTCCCCAAATACAACATTTTAGCTCTTATACTCTGTAATCTAAAAAGCCTGTTCTGTTGTCTTAGTGAGTTTAAGGCTTTCCTTGGCTATCAAAACAAAGAAGTCTTTTGTTGAAAGAATCAGGCGACAGTGTTTGGTATAAAGAATAATTGTGTGAAACACCAATGTGTAAAAAGCAGACTTAAGAGTTTGTCTGTCTCCAGATTCTTTGGATTTCTTGCAACAAATCAAAATACTATTGTCCTTTGCTTTGAGGGAGCCCTAAACAATTATGTATTGTCATGTTTTCTGAGCGCATGTAGAGGACAACATGCAGGTATGATTTTATAGGATATATTTCAACCATCTCCAGCTCAGTGGGATCAAGTACTTGTGGGCATTCCAAGGACTTTCCTTTATGCCCTTGCCAATCCAGTGGGGCAGCATATTATATTGCATACAGTTGGAACTCATGAAATATTCCTTGGATTTTAGCTGACCTGCATCTACATTTACTGGGCATAACCAGCATGCCAAAGACAGAGAACAAACAAAGTCAGTGCAGTCAGCCATTGGCATGAGTTCCTGGGCTACGTGGGCCAGATGGCACATAGAGCCACTAGGACTCACTCTGAGCAGAGTGGATAAGATCCAAGGAAGATACAGTGCTGAACCAGAATGGAGTGTGGTTTTTGTCTGTTTGTTGGTTTGTTTTTTATTGTGTTACATTTCTGCTTAAATAGCAATAATTCAGTAGCTGCACTGGACATCAACGGATGATGTTTCAGTTCAATTGGAGGGTTCTGCCATCACTCAAGGCTCAAGAGCGGGACTGCCCTTTGTTTTACAGGGTCATATCCACACATACCTTCTTCTTTCAAAACTTTCTTTCACGACAATAACTCTGACCTTGGTTCTTGCTTGGCCATTCGACTCATGAGCATGAAGTAAAGAGCAAAGAGCTTGATTGGTTGCATTTGGGGTTGGGTTGGGGATGGGTTTGGGGTCCATTCATACAGGAATGAACATATCTCACTTTGCTTATTTGTGTCTCAGGGGTGACGGTGATAAGCTACAGAATAGAAAGGAGGGAAACATTTGGAATGCAAGCTTTAGGGAAACTCTACAAGAGTGACACCAAAAGAAAGCGCTTTCTTTTGATACCCTCCCTCAAAACCTCTTCAGTCCTTCACTTTGAAGCCATGGAGAGGCAAGTGCAATCTCATTTAGGAAAGGGGGGAGGGGCTGTCTCTAGCCAGCTGAGTTTGGAGTTCCACCACTTTCTCCAACAAGTTTCATTACTTCTTCTATCGTGCAGCTTGTACACGCCATTCAGATCTCCCAAGTGAAACTGACAATCTTTACCTGCCAATGCTCTGAACATATCCTTCCCACTCTTCAAAAATCAACCAGAGCTTCTCACCCCATGTGTTATCTGTGTTACTTATTGGTATCTATTCCAGACACAATACAAAGTATGAAAACCTGAGGCTGTAGGGGATGAGGGGGTGTACACATGTGTTGGGGATGGGGATTTGGTGAGGAGAAACTCAGAGAATGAAACTTTCCAGGCTGGAGAGAAACAGGAGGCAGAAGAAGGATGGAAGACAAGCATGTCTGAGGTTGGCACGCTTTAGGGACACCTGCTGCTTACCCCAGGTTTTGGACATCAGCACAATTATCACCCTTCATCCCTACCTCAAGAAGCATCCCCTGGTTAATCAATGACTCACACTTGCTTCATTTAGCACCTCTTAAATGGCAGGGGGTGGTCAGGAAGGCAGGTAAGAGGGAAAGTCAGCTAAGGGGACAAAGGGAAGCTAATACGGGAGAAGGCAGAGGTTCAGACAACTGGGGCTCCAGGAGTCCACAGAAGGCCAAAAGGGTCAGGCTGACTTCACTAGGAGGAGGGGCTACTGCAAGGGCAAAACAGTGAGACAGGGTACCATAGGATTGACCCAGGACTGGGTCTAGAAGAGAAGAAATGGAGAAAGAACAGATATGCTGTGGAGTCTTGGTTGATCGACACAGAGACGATAATGCTGATCTACAATTGAAGCACCGAGGCTTGGTACAAAGATCCAAGGAGGTTGGGAAGTCAGAGATGGGAGAGATGCTGGAAAATTCTCACCAATGAACTGGCTTTCGATTGAGCAAGCTAAGAGTAGAGCGTGGAGGAGAAATGTGTTTACAGGGGTTAAAAGCTACTGGGTCTCACGATCAGAATCTGATCAGAAACTAGACCATCAGCCTGAGACTCTAGACCAGTGGTTCTTAACCTTCCTAATGCTGCGACCCTTTAATACAGTTCCTTGTGTTGTGGTGACACCCTCAATCATAAAATTATTTTGTTGCTACTTCATAATTATAACTTCCCTGCTGCTATGAATTGTAACATAAATATCTGTGTTTTCTGATGGTCTTAGGCAATCCCTGTGAAAAGGTCACTCGACCCCCCCCTGCCCCGAGGGGGCCGTAACCTACTGATTGAGAACCACTGTTCCAGATGGACACAAACTCCTCTGTCCTTCCCTTCTCCATCCCCATTATGGGTAAGTATCCCATGTGAGGGAGGAATGGAAAAGCTGGAGCTCTGTTTGCTTCTTTTGGGGAAAGTGAAACCCTTTTCTTCCCCAGTCCCTAGCAGGATTCACTGGGTGTTAAGTGTTCTGAACATTTGGCTCTTTCTTTGGATGTTCCCCTCAATCAGAGCTTTGCTATCACAGAGAATGAAGAAGCATAATGCAGATCCTAGGAGACTTTGCAGCTGCCTCCAGCTACTATGACGGACTTCTCATTTGGTGGCTCTCCCACAAAGGTCATGTCACCGAGCCAGATGGGATGGCAGGTGCTATGATTATGTTCACCCACATATCAGGTGAGACATTGAAACAGACCCAGATAAACACTCTTTTAGACAGGCACATTGTCGGCACACGTAGACCACTGTCCATGGCCTTCTGAAGCCCAGCTTTGACCAAGATGTCCTCAGTGATGCAGTTTGGTTCTCGGAAGTCTTCCCCATGCACACCTGTGGCCACATCTTCCACTGTTAGATGAGCCAAGTCCACAGTTATGCACTGTCTGTCCATTGGCACACTCACTTTTCCCTGTCCTAGTCACTTCTCGTGCTCTCATCTTCACACTCCTGACAGAGTCTTTCCCACTCTTTAAGAGGCTCCTCATGCTGCCACTTAACTCCCACTATGACTTTGAGCCAGTTCCCTTCTGGGTGCCTTAGCTTCCGTTTGGTGAAATGGAGATGGCTGTGTGATGACTAAATGAATGAGTCTAATGGGGATGGCTTCTGAAGTGCCCAGGACAGTGAGCTCCCTGAACATTCTAGTCCTGTTTTTCACTGAGGACATCTGTATGTAACACGAAAAATAAAAGACCAAGACTGATATTAGGGTTCAAGCTTCAAGATGAAGGTCAGAAAAGCAAAGCAGCTGGCCACTAGCTTCATGAACCTCTAGCTCCGGCTGAAAGGGCTGATCCAAGCAGGAGCTCTTCACCAAGTCTCAAACTCCTGTCTCTGCTCAGTGTGGCTGGAGAATGAATGCCTCTCTGGGACCTTGCCTCTGTCTTATATATTTCCTAATGTTGGGATTAAAGGTGTGACCTATAATTCTCTTTTAGACTGATTCACTCTTGTGTAGATCTGGGTGGCCTTGGACTCACAGAGATCTGTCTACCTCTTATTTCTGAGTCCTAGGATTAAAAGTGTGTACCGCCACCTCCTAACTTCTGGCTTCTGGGATTAAAGGTGTGTGGCTGGCTTCTATGGCTTGTGGCTGACTTTGCTTTCTGAATCCTCAGGCAAGCTTTAACAAATCATAAATAATATATCACAACACTGGCTTCTGGACTCACATACTCCTCTGAACACTCAGGGGCTATTTGAAGCATAGATGGCAGTACTAAATGTCTCTAAGTAGGTTGTACTTTGTTTGGCTTTTGGTGTCCGTCTGTTCTAAGTTCCACCCTCTTGAAAAGAATGGGATACTGTGTACAGCATCTCCTTTGTTGTCCCTGATTCCATTATTTGGTGCTTGGACTTACCAGGAAAGACAATTTTTAAGTTAAAATAATAGGAATGTTAGTAAGACATAATTAACATTCCATACAATCCACTCACTTAAAGTGTACAAGTCAGTGGTATTTATTATATTCACAGAATTGAGCAACCATCCGTACACCATACAGACCACTGCAATCACCCCACATCTCCACACCCCTCAGAAGTCCACACCAACCCTATACAGAGAACC